CTTACCCAGCAGGATAATGATGCAGAGGAGAATGGCAATCAGTGCCCCTGTGCTGAGGCCAGCAGGGAGGAGCAGGGCCTCAGCGTTGCAGGACTGCATGTTGCCCCGGCTGTCGCAGGCACACACACGAATAGTCAGCGTGCCCGTGCTGCTCTGGATCGGGTAGTCGTTGTCTGATATCACCACGGGTAGAAGGTAAGTACTTATTTCATGTCGGCTAAAGCCGTTCCTTCTTGTCAAAATTCTGGCAGTATTATCTAGATTAAAACATACTCTTGTATAGTATATGAATATAAAATACACACTACATATAATACATGCAAACTATTTGTCTGTTTTACATCACTGATGTATTTTGAAAGTGGCCAGTCCTGATATCATAGTGGTATCTCTCTTTTCTAATGACATTCCCATTTGATCAGAAAGCTATTTATGGATTTTTATGGACATCCAGCTTGTTCCTCTGTGCCTCTGCAACACCTTTGCATGTGGTTTGAAAAGAGAATTTCCCAAAGCTTCACATATTTTATAGATTACTGCATGTAGTGTGTCACACAATTCCATTCCATGGCTTAATATCCTGAAATGAAGTGGCCAACAGAGAAAAAATAGCCTTTCACTTCACACCGTTCAACACGCACTCTGCTTTGAAAAATTCTTTCTATGGATCGTTTGTGATAATACTCAGAGGAACGCTACCTATAAACTCAGTATGAGATTTTTCCGCACCAAAACACTTTCAGCATACTGTAGAACAATGAATTATATATCTCAGCGCATAGAGCAGAATTTTTGTTCGAAAAATTGTCTCAGGAATTCAGAAAATCAATGTGAAAAACTATTCCTGCACAGTTCTGAGAAGTGAGAGCACTAAGCTGTATTTGTAGCAAACAAAGTTTAGTTGTCTGCAGTACACTTCAGCATCGAAAGCTGTTCACTGAGTGGCCAGAGAGACGGGAAGGAGATGTTGCTGGGGCAGGAATGAGTGATGAGGGAGGACGATTACTTCTGTGGTCAGCGCCACATTCTGTTTACAAAACTGAGAGCCAACACTAGTGTTTCTAACTTTGTAGTCCCAAAGGGAGAAAATACAGATTCATTCTCCAGGACTGAAGGAAAAATTCTTTTTCATCAAACCTGTGGATCTCTCAAGGTAAATGGTTATCTAAGCTGAATTAGAAAAACTCATGCACAAAGTAAGAAAATAATTTTAGATTAGAAAAAGAATCAGTTTATCCCTCTACAGACTCAGAACCTGATCACTAGGACATATACTTTGTTTAAAATACTAAATTTGATGGGGTTTTCTATGGCCTGCATGATGTGAAATGTAAAGTGGCCCTTTATTGTATCCCTTCATTGGTTTGGGGTATTTGTTAGCGTTGGACCTTTGCTAAGCCTTTTCATTCAACAGCAAATATGATGTGTTAGAAAGAATCTTTAAATACCCCTACTGCTGCAGATTTCATAAGGTACCCAAACAACTGATTCCAATGCTTCACTATTTGTACTGTTAGAATTTTTTTATCTCTGATCTACTTTAAATCTCCCTCATACTGTTTGCAGTCTGTGATCTCCTGTAATCTTCATCATGAGAAGGGGAGTATTCTGTCTTTATGTCTTTAACATATTTGAAGGATGGTACCATATCCTCTCATCCATTTCTGCAGTCTAGAGCCCTCTTAGTTAATCACACTGATAATGAAGTATAAAGTCGGTGTGTATGATTTCTCACCTTGTCCCATTCCCCCAACAGAAGCTTCTGAAAGTTTTCCATGATAATAGGTGAAGAATAACAAATGATCAAAGGAAAAGCCACAGTGGCCATGCACTTTGAGTCATAAATTTCATAATCATCGTAAAGCAACAAAAGAGAAAATCAGGACAATCAGAACTGTGACAGAAGTCAAAAGTGAAAAATCTCAATTTAAGAGGTGAACTATTTTTCAAACTTTTTTCCCTCCTTCAGTTAAGTATTATATTTGGCTACTCACCCTGAACTAACACTTTCAATGATTTTCTTTATAATCGGTTTCATCCTGTTCTAGTCATGCTAACTTTCGTCTCCTTTACACAGATGAAAATACAGACATCCTAAGCCACAAAGATTCAGTTAAAATTATTCTTGTTATTATCACTATAGGTTTCAGCAGCCATAAAGGTTTTTCTGAATATTGCTAGATATCAAAAGCAAATTCAAGATACTTCAAGAAGATATGTCAGACAGTAAACGTACAAATCCTTTCCTGGGCTACGCGTGTATTTTACCTTCATTATCCTGAACAGTGAAGTTTGGGTTAACAGCAGCTAAACTGAAGAAAAATTTTTGTCCACCAAGAGGGTCATCTTTGTCTACTGCACTTATGGTCTGGATAAGCTGCAAGAAGAAAAAACAAATATATCTGGGTATTAGATACAGCTATCTGGTTACTTTAGGATATTCTAAACTGCTGAGAAAGCTTCATATCCTAACTGCATACATACTGATTTAATACTTAGTCTGTAAAATGTATCAACTGAATAAATGTTAAACAAGTTTATCGAATAAGCTTTCCAACAAGAACACTGTTGGAAAAAATACATTTTGTGTACACATATAAAATCGTGAGCTTCTGCCTAGTTTAGGCCTTTCTGCTTCTTTTTCTTTTAAGCTATACTTTTGTAAATACATAAAGGGCAAAATTACAATCAGACCAGCTCATAAGAGTGGAATTCACAGGATATTTATATTTTGTGACAAGAATGGGATTTTAGCAAATATGTTTTCCATAGGGAAGTTAAAATTTCAAATTAAATTTCAGAATAAAAATATTTCCTTCTAAAACAAGGTTTTTCTATTTATTAGTAAATCAAAATACATAAATAAGATTATTGAGAAAAAATGCTAGTTAGAATACATCTTTCAGCTTCTGAAAGACATAGCGGCATACTCTACATCTGCTTTTTTTTGAAAGTAAAAGCAAGGTGAATGAATTTGTTGCTGTTTTTCACTGGAGTTTTTTGACTGAAGATTGCCAAAATGCTGTTTTCCACATAAAATACAGTTCTTGGCATCTTCATTACTTTATTTCAGAGTAATTTTTTTGTTTTTAAACCAGAACAATGCAAGCTGTATCCACAGCTGAATGAATATGTTCAGCTATGTGCTTAAGTTTAACTTGGCAAACAAAATAGATTAATCTTTAACCTAATACATTCTTATTTTTCATCTCTGATCCGTCATTTTAAATTGTACTGTTTTTTCAAGCATGCAATTACATCTAATTTTTGGCACTACTCCTTCCCTGTGGCATAGTTGCTAAATCTGTTTGTTTTTCCTCTTCCAGTTCTTCCAAATACAGTCATTACTCTTCATATCACAGCTTTTGTCAAGACTGATCCTCTTTCATATCAACAACTGTAATGTACTCCTGTTTGTTTGCCTTAAAAAACGTCTGATTGATTGATTACAGCAGCAGGTTTCTTCAAGAGGGAAGATCTGGATTTCTTTTAACACAGCAGCTTGCTTGCTTTCTCAACCAGCGTGCTGTCTTTCTCTAAACTTGTTTTCTCGCATAAACAAATATGTGATATAATAACCACCAAGACATGTAAGTACTTCCAGTAACTTACTGGATGAACAAAGCAGATAATACATGCATAGAACATTATTTGTTTGAAAAGAAAGAAAATTTTCTTATCTAGTAAGTTTATAAATAATTAGTAAATTAATCTTTACAGATTTTTGAAAAATTAAACATGTCTCTTAAGTCAGGAAAAAAACTAGTGCATTTTACTTCAGTCACATGTTGGTGTTAAGCTGATGAACATAAACTCATCTGTTTCTGAACGTCAACACCCATAGTTTCTCCGTAGATGATGTACAGCCTAAAATGTTTTACAGTTTGCAGGGTTATTCACCTACTACAGCAATTTAGCCAAACGTGCAGAACTCTTAGCAGAACATTAGACAAAAGGGTGTGTATCCTATTAACTCCCCCATTCATCACTTCCGGTAGCAACTGATGTTTTCTGAGAACTTCTCTGTTCAACTATTGATCATGTTTGACCTTATAATATACTTCATAATACATTTTATAAGCAAATTCAGGTAATTTGCTTACCTTAGGAAAAAAAATGCATACATCCTTTAGAAGTGAAAATGAAGTGAACTACTGCAACAGAAAGAGCCAAAAGAACAAAACTTTGTGATACGAGGCCTCAGAGACTGAATACTGTAACTCAACATTTCTTCACTTCTGCTTTGCGAAGTATTTTGAACTACCTTGTTTTTCTTGTATGAGGAGTTTTAAAAGATAAGATTTGCAATGAAGAATCAGTAAGTTTCTTTACTCTTTCAAGGGCACTTGGAAATCATAGAGACTTTTTTGTACCTTACACCTAGGAGGAGGCAGGCCTTCCTTTTCTGCCACTGGCTCTTCTTCAAACAACAATTCTGATCTGCCTGGCCACTTGAAAGGGGTAAGCACAGGCAGGACTTTGGTTGTTATAGTTCACCTACTTGGTCTTTTCTTCAAATCACTGTGTGTGGCTGCCCTGTCATGGTGCTTCTGGAGACCTGAGCTTTTGCCTCCTCTCTCTCTCTCTATGACTCATTTCCTACATTGGCATCTCATTACATACTGTGACTGATCTCCAAGCTGTGTCACCAAGCTCAGGTCTTCAGTTTGGTTAAAACTGTTTTACAGTTCTGCAGATTCTGTCATCAAGAGAATTATGTGAAGAGCTGTAAGAAAAGTTGCAGAAATTGTAATGCCACAAGTTGGAAACAAATTTTATTTTTTTTTAATAAAGAAAGAAAGATAGACGCTATGTCCTTGTGCCCAAGTATACGTGTTTAGGGGAAGGAGGGATAGTTCAACATTTTAGATGTATTCATAATGACCTTTTGCATTTGCAAGTCCAAGACCATGATGACGTTGGAAGGTACCCTGACAGCTTTCCATTCAGGTAAGGGACTGGTTTGTTTCTTGGTTTTTGTAACGCTTACATTCGTGCTGTAATGATGTCGGATCACCATTTTATGTCAGATTCATGGGAGATCAGGTTCACTCTCAGAGTCAGAAGCTTCCATTTGACTTGTCCATAGCTCCCTTTGATTTCACCAAACTTCTGACTTCAGTTGTAGCCCACTTTTGTCGCAAACGGATTCCTTTATTCAGCTCCCTGTTGACTTCAGTTGTAGCCCACTTTTTTGTCACAAACGGATTCCTTTATTCAGCTCCCTGAGTTGACAGTTGATTTGTAAGGGGATCAGACCTTTTTTTGTGGTCTTTCTTTGAGCTATGATCACTGACCACAGTCTTTGCTTAAATGACAAAAAGCAGTGCCACTCATCACAAGATGTGATTTCTGATACTTTATGAAAAACGTCACAGGGAGCTTCACACCATCTGTAGGTCAGCAGGACAGCTGTGTGTCAGCAAGATATCATTCCCTTGAGCAAAATTTGGGAATGCAAAATGCATATGCATTCCCATATGCAGGGGGGGGAAAAATAAAAACCTGCTTCCTCCTTCTGCTGCTTATAAATGTCATCACAAGGAACACTTTCTTCACCAGGTTGGGAACTCATGTGGCTGAAGAGCAGGCCCTGTGGTCTTTGGAAGGAAAAGACACCTCCTGTCAACCTTTTTTGAAGTGCTGCATGGTTTTCTGTGCTCACTTTCTGGGCTCAGCAGTGAACGATCAGGATAAGGAACATTGTTATACAAACTGGATGTCTATGGGATTGGGATTTAACAGGTGAGTGCTGAGGGAGCTGGCTGATGTCATTGTGAAGCTACTCTCTATCTTTACAAGGCGCTGGGGATCGAGAGAGGTTGCTGTGGAATGGAAGAAACCAAACATCACTCCTGTCTTCAAGAAGGGCAAGAAAGAGGAGTTGGAGAACTACAGGCCTGTCAGCCTCACCTTGATGCCTGGGAAGGTGAGGGAGCAACTAATCCTAGATTCCATTTTCAGACACATGAAAAACAAGCAGGTGACTGGGAATAGTCAGCATGGAGTTAACAAGGGGAAATTGTGCTTAACCATCCTGACAGCCTTTCACAATGAGATGTCTGGCTTGGTGGGATGAGGGGAGAGCAGTGGATGTTGTCTGTCTCAGCTTCAGTGAGGCTTTCGACACTGTCTCCTCATCAACAACCAGATGAAGTACAGCCTCAGTAAGTGGGCAGTAAGGTAGACTGAAACATAGCTGAACTGCTGGCCTCAAAGGGCTGATCAGTTGCATGAAGTCCAGCTGGAGGCCTAGTGGTGTGGCCCAGGGGTTGATAGTAAGGCCAATACTGTACATCTTCATTAAAGACCTGGTTGATGGGGCAGAGTGTGCCCTCAGCAAGTTTGACACAAAGACCAGGAGGAGTGCCTGATAGACCAGATGGTTGCGCTGCCATTCAGAGGTACCTCAACCAGCTAAAGAAAGGGGCAGAGAAGAACACAAATTTAAAAATTCAGTTATTATCCAGTTGTTTGTGGGCACAGACCGATGGCAGTAATTTAGCATATAAGTAACTGTGGTAGCTGTGTTGCACAAGCTTTCCATTTTGGGCAAGTTGCTAGGCAGCCACTTGTAATACTGTGTGTTTTACCACGACTTGTCTCATTCTTGACGCTTTAAGGACTGATAAAGGCTTCAGTATAATAGTTTTTAGTCATTGTTTGCCTGACTCTGAAACCTCTGGGCAGTAATTGATGGCAGGGTAACTACTTAGAGTCGCTTAAGTACGTGTAAATCCACTTGAAGAAAGAAAAACTACTTGATGGGTACAACTGTTTTATTTGTAGTCAACATGTACATTCATCTCCCAGCAGCTTTTTCCCCCTGACAATGACTTCCAAGTATAAATCTACATTTGAGAAGAACTGAAATGACAGCGTAAGCTCTGCTTTTAAGGTCAACTACTGACCACTGTTACATTTAAATGTAGCCAAGGCATCTTAAAGAATATCTGTTAAGGTAAGGTGGTAAGGTAATACCTGCCAAGTTACACTTCTGTTTGTTATTTTACAGTAAAACTGAACAATACTGAATCATTAAAATTTTAATCCTCGGTTTCTTAAATTTACCTATACTGGTTTGTACTAATTTTTTTTTTTTTTAAATATAATTAAACAAGCAACAGTACTTGTACAACAAATATGTACTCATGTTGCATTTGAAAATTCTTTTTAGTAATAAGACACATTTTGAAGGAGAAAGTAAATATAATGAAGTTCTAATATGCCCTTCTTTTTCCCCCAGGAACTGATTTAACCAAGCAGAATTTAGAAATATGAGTGACAGAATAGGAGAAAGTAAGTATGTAATATGCCTTAAGAAACTTAAGTGTTATGAATATTACTCTAAAAATGGAAATCTGGGAAGTCTTCTTTTCCTTTGAATTGTCATTAAATTATTACTTATAGCCTTGATATACACTGCCGCTATACTTATAATTATAAAAGGTACTGACACAAAATAGTATTAATAATGTAACGGGTTTATACATGACACTTTCTATTGGTGTGTGTGCAACATACGCAAGACCCACACAAAGCTATGTAATGATGTTGGAGCTGTGATGAGGTCCAAACCTTCTTAGTATCCCGCTGCTTCAGGCAATGGCAAAATACCTAAGTGACCTTTTATTCCCTCTTTGTACTGTTTGACTCCCATGGCGGGAGATGGAAGAGTGGAAGGCTGGTTTTTTTTGTTTTGTTTTGTTTATGTTTAGCCAAACTAATGGAAGTTGAAAGCATTTTCTTACATTTTTACATTCCATTCCCTGGTGTCATCAGTACCTGTATTAATGTCAAATAGCCTGCTCTTCATACGGTTTCATACAGTGTTGTTTTACTCTTATAAAAATCAACCAGGGGATATCCTCACTTTTACCCACTGTGTATTACTTCTAACTTGCTAGCAATGGTACAAAGCAGTGATGACTGCAGGGAGGCCAGGGATATTACTCCCTCTCAAAAAAGCCAGGAATGTAATGGTCCAATGGTAAGTCAGAGAGAGCTGTTAGCCACTAAAAATTAATAAATGGTTGGAACAAATTTGCCTTGTAGGCTACTTATTCTAGACTAATTCACCTCTGTGTTTGTTAAGTCCTCTTTAGAGCGTCAGTATTATCCACTGTTTAAGTACACGGACATTTTTTTCCTAAAACACAATATATAAATTTCTCTGCTTTTAAATTCTGTGTAAAGAATAAAAAATATAACATGTTATTAAGAAAAAGTATTTGGAAATCCCATAGTGATTTTCACTGAAAAAATATCTATACCTATAAACCCATCAAAGTAAAATTTGAAGAGTTCTTGGAAAAAAAAATGCAAGAAAATTCTGATATTACTAAAAATAACACAGGATGTTATAAAATAAAAGGACATATACTGAAGGAACTAAAGAAAGAATAAATTGGAAGAGATGGGGAGGGGGAAAATAAAAAAAATATTCAAGCAAATTGATCACAAACTGTAGTAAAGAAATGAGGGAGACAGATGGTTATAAAAACCCTAGATAAAAATGGCAATTAAGGGACCAGAGGATATCAAAAAGTCCTATGAATACATCTAGAAAAAAATGAGAAAATTAAATTGCTAAAAAAAATGCAACAACAAAGAATTTAGTTTTTAAATAAATGCATTTTAACTTTTTTACTAAAAATAATAGTTATGATGTGAAAGACATCTGCTGACAATAATGAGGAAATTGTTGGAAATACAAAGATATCAAAAGCCAAGGTTATCATGGATTAAAAAAAAATATGCCTGATGAAACAAAAGGTGAACAACATGAAAACATTCATTTCATGAAAACATTCTTTTCACCACATGAAAAGAATTGGTGAAAGAACCCTAATATGTTTATATAATCTTTAATGAATTGCGATTCAAGAAAAAGAAAAACATGAATGAATCATACATAGTTTAAAAAGGCATTGAAGAGAATCCATGATGAGCTAGCCTGATCTATAAACCTCTGGACATATAGTAAAGGAATGAGTACATACAGAATTTGCAAAATGAAAGCCAACAACAGCAAGATTGTAACAAGCACTGTTCCAGGAGCCAAACAGATGAAAATACAACTTTTCTCATTATGTTGAGGCTTTTAAAGCTACAGGAATTTATATTTATATTCATTATAATGACCAGAATATGTTTCTTTTTTTTTTTTCTTCTATGCCTTTTCTTCTTCTCTCAGGTCATTTACCAAGAGGGGACAAGAAGAGCACTTTTTCTGGCCGTTACATAAGGATAAGTTAATGCCCAGGAAAAACATACTGAGCTTCCAGCCAACAGCTCTGTAGAGCAGGACTCCTGCTCTCTACCCTGCCCCTTGTCTTTCACATCATACAGGTTTTTCTGGAGGCTGCCTCTTGTTCTGCCAGAGGTGCGGCAGCTGGCACCTCGCAAAGCCCATGGGAAGGCATGTGCCCAGACCCCAGCTCTCCGCAGCTAGGGGTGGAGGTCAGCTTTTTGGCATACAGGGCTCCAAGTGTGTACGCGTTTTGCTTCTTTCTTCCCCTCAAACCCTACTGCACAGGTCACATGAACGCCCAGGTCCCCTGTGGGTCATCACACCAAGATTGCCTTGTTTTTTGAGGGCCGCAAAAGCAGCAGCTATCTAAATGGCATTCTGCCACAGGTACCTAAATGCTTATTTGTAGCATGAACTCCCTGGACCAGGATTTTCCCATAGCTTGGAACCTCCTTCTATGATCTTGCAGCAACAGTAATGACCATATTATCACACAATATACCACATCCTTGGTATGTGAGCATATATATGTATGCATATGTGTGTGTGTGTTTATATGTGTATGTATAAAATACACACACACACACACATATATAATATATGAATGATGTAATTGGACATACATAAGAGAAAAAAAGAAGCGCTATAGAAAGCTGTAATATTCCAGCCTGTCATTAAAAACGTTTGTCAGTAGGAGATAAGGAGCATTTAAAGGACATCACAGAATTTGTGACTGGTAAAGCACCATAATAATTTCAGTGATCTAACAGGAGATTTGAATTTGATTATGGATCAAACGTAATCGTGAAAACCAGAAAGGAAAGAAAAATAGCATAAATGTGGGCGAAATCAAAGTTAGAGAACCATGTTCATACAGCTTGATTAGGTTCAGTCCCTTGGGAAAAGACTGAATTCTAACAATAATGAGTCTTGATGATCTACCAGTGATCAATAAGAATATAATTACATTTAAATAGATATTTTCCTGTTAAGAATCCGGCATTGTATTATTTTTTCTCTTCCTGTGGACTGATTTCTTTAAATAATCATTTGCAACTCAGATTTTTTTGTTTTTTTTTAATAAAGGGTTATAATTACAGCAAGTTGTAATAAACTTTGTGCTTCATTGTGATAAGCTGGGAGATACACGGCTGAACTTAAATTTTAACAGTTCAGACAAACATGTACGGATAAGTCCATTTATTCAGCTTCTTAATTATTAGTCATTTTGACTAAGACAGCCTTTTCTGGGTTGAAGCATAAATTCAGTATAAAATGCAGAAATAACTTCTCCAAGCATTTATTTTTAAATTAGACTGACAAATATTATAGGTAACAAAGAAAAAAAGCTTCTCAGAATATGATTTCATGAAAACATAACAGTTTACTAAAGCACTGACAATATTCTCTATAGTTAATAACCCTGAGCTGACTCTGATTCTAAAATCTCAAACTGAGTAAGCTTTGTGGATTAATGCATTTCATTTTTTTCACTCAGAATTTCTAGTGAAACTGGAAGAGGAAAACCACAATTTTCTATTTTTCCAGTGCTCAATCCCTATCTTCTCTTTGAAGTGATTAAGATATGGTTTTTAGAACGCACTATAAGTTTCAGAAATTGTGAATGTTTACCCACTGATTTCTATTTATCCAACAGCTTGACTTAGAACTCTAGTAGCAAAAAATACCACTGCTTAATATTTTAAAATATTTTTTACATTCTAAATCTGGTCCTTAAATCCTTCGTTGTAATTTCTAAAAGATGTCACTTTAGAAAGAAGAATGGCTACCTGAAAGTGAAACTTGTAACACAGCCTGAATACGATGCTTGTAGCACTCAAGCAGTTACAGCACGCTGGCACTTCTCCCATGCTCTATTTGGAAATGCTGAAAGGTACTATTTGGAGCCACTGAGGTACTACTATTCTAAAGGATTCATTATTTGCTGAATGTGCTCTGGGACATGCTGTGCTATAATAGGCAAACAGGTTTTTAACAGTTCTAATAATCAGCTGCCTATTAGGAATTAGTTATATTAAGCTGTGCAGTCATTTCACTTAAACTGAAGTAAACTTTCTGTAGCCTGTAAGAGGCAAAACAAAATAATGTTACCACCTCATAAATGTATGTTTTATATTTTCTTTGCAAAAGTTTTCGGTAATCAAGACAAATGTAAGAACTTCATAAAAATACATGTAATGTCTATAATCACTATCAGCATGGATTGAAAATAAAGCTGAGTTCTGCCATTGAGACTGCTTGAAAATACAAGTCAAACTTTTTAATACTTACTTATTTATAACATTTTGCTTTCTCAGTGATGATTACAGCAAAACTAATTAAGACCATGTCTCTTAGACATATATAATTAGGATTTAACAGTAGTACAGGGTTAGGTAAAGTGGTAATTCACACACTGCTAGTGTTGTAAAATACTATTTCACTGTAAGCTTGAGCTGCAGAACTAGTTGTTCCTTTCATTTTCAACATTTCAAAAGATGCTTCGGACATAACCTCTCACACGCCACACGCAAGAATGACCTACAATTGAGTGCCACAGCAAAACTGGATAGTAGAAAGCATTTAACAAGGGCATACCTGTCCAGCTCTCGCATTTTCACACACAAAGGTATCATAGAATACAGCAAACTGGGGGGCATTGTCATTAACATCCAAAATTCTCACATAGACAGGAACACGAGTAGTATCTTTGGGGTTGTCTGACAACAGAAAAGACAAGAATAGTGAGTTTATTTTTCCATTTAATCTGTTTTCTTCAAACTTAACCAACACAGTAGCCATTCAAGATTAGGTATGAAACCAGTCAAAATTTACCATGCAAACTGCTACTAGGTGAGAATCAGGCCTTTGGGAAACTACAGAGAGGTTTTGCTTAGAGGTAAAAACAAATCACTGTATTGGTATCTCGTGCACAATTAAGCCTTTTACAGGAAAATAGGGGCTGCAACTGTCAATGATCTATGTACATGTAATACATGAAAAACATGTGCATAAGGATAATGACAAATTTGATTATTTTGTGAGCTGCAGAGTATCATTTTGCTGTAAGGTTTTGATTTTTAATTTTAAAATGATTTGTGATCAGATTTGCTTTACCCAGAAGAAACATTTTTGACTTTGCCTACACGTGTTCTGAAAATTTTTCAAGCCTGGTTTTGATTTTCTGCTCTTGCACCTTAATAAATCGAGGGAAATTCCAATGAGGCCAATAAAATATCCAAATACAAATCTGGTACAGAATTGAGTAGAATTGAGTGCTTATGTTTAAATTGTCTTAACTGAACTTAATCTCCCTCAAAACTAACACAACATACCTCTTTGTAGAACCCTAACTACTCCTGCTAGGGCCAGAATGTAAATTCTGTCAAAGTATCCTGGATAAGGAAATAAGTTTAATACTATGATTTGAGCATAAAAGGTTACTAAGTTCCTTCACCATATAAATATTTCTGAAAAGGATTCTTACAACAGTGAACAGCACTACTAAGTGCTAAGAATTGTAGGCCCAGGAATATGCATCAAAAGAAAACAAAAATATACAGCTATCAGTGTGTGATACAACCACCACTTGGCCTCTAATATAGAAGAAACCCAGGCCCTGGACTACAAAAATGGGAACAGGCAAGCTAAGAGTGGTTAACTGACTGGACATGATGTTTTCTGCCATATAGTTCTTGCCAGCCACGCTACGCTGTTGATCAGATTTTTTTTTTTTTGACTGATTTACCCTAAAACAACAGAAGCTTTGAAAGCAAGTGACCCTCGTTAGCTGATCTCAAGATCAGACTTTTGTCCCTTATAAAACAGCATTTTTGATTAGAATATGTTCTGCCAGAGGCGTTAACATTAAACTCAATAATGTAGTGGGTTTAAGAGGACCTCAGCTTTCTTCTTTGTACTTCTAATATGAAAATATCTCCAAAGAGCTGATTTGGTTAGTCCGAGAAATACTAAGCCTTACAGAACAAGTAGAAGTTATTAACTTATACGATATATCGATTCCAAGAACTGTAGGTATAGGTACTGTAGAAAGACTGAAATTATTTATAAGAAAATAAAGAAAACAATAAAGATGACAAAAACTCTTGACCTCTGCTACTACTTAGAAACAAAATCATGTCATTGTCCTCAAAGGAAAGGAAGAAAACCACATTGTGCCCTTATTAAACAAGGTTAAACCAATGTTATTAATAACTGGATAACATTTCAGAAATAAGTTGGACATTAAAGGCCCTTGGTGAAAGTAGGTGAGGAAATGTGCAATGAGGAAAAGCCGTGTAGATACAGCTACCCTCCTGCCCCAATCCTCCCCAGTTTCATTTTAACTAAATATCTAGCAGAATGGGAGGATGGGGGCGGAAGGGAGGATTTTTCTCACTGAGTCACAAATACAACTTCGCAGGCTAAGGAAAATGGAAAGAAAAACAAGACTAAATTGGCTTACTGATCTCAGCTGCTATAACACTAAGATTGTGCCATTGTGATATCTCACGGTCAAGTGGTTTGGAGGTATAGATGGATCCATTTCCAGAATGAATATTAAATATCCTGTCAAGGTCAGTGTGACGATCCAGAGAAAATCTAAATATGATAAAGAAAGAAAAATTATTCTCCAACTGACAGAAAATGGAAGAAAGCATACATTTTACAACACATGAATATATCTTTCAGGTTCTGTGTGCTACTTTACAAATGCTACTTTTGATAAGAGTATTATTTAGTTTCTGCAGATTTAGTGCTTAAATTTTTGTCCAGGTCATTCATCAATATTTTAATGATCGTTTCTAAAACTGAAAATGCATATACACACTTGTGAAAATTCTCAAGATTAGTTCTGTAAAATGAGGAATAATAATTGCAGGAATTTCATAAATGTTATAATAATGTAATATTTGATCATCTGAACTTTTATAGACATAAATACAAATTACCAAAAAAAAAAAAAAAGAATTTCAATATAATAATTAAAGAATTGTTTTAATCCTGAAAGGAAAATTCTCTTTGATGTCACTGTTCCTTCCGATTGAAACGGACAGCTTACTCCGAGCTTTTCCAAATCTACTGGTTTATAAGCTCAGCTTCTTACTTTAGGTATGTTAATTTACAAGACATCAAATTAAAACAAATCCTTATAAAAACAAGTTCACTTGCAGAACTTTTCAATTTCCTGAACCTGCTGATTTTAAAGGACCTTACGTGTTACTACAGAGGCTTTGCCTCTTCAGGCAGAACTTCTATCATAATATGGCAGATTGTCCAGTTATGATCAACAAACTGCTCTTTCTTCCATTTTTTCTAATATCTAATACTGCCTTCAAAATGAGGATGGAACCTTTGGTGTGGAATTAAATGTAGAATTTGTGAAGTACAGTATATTTGTCTAATTCTTGCAAAATTGGGCCAATTTAAATAATTTCCACCAGCATACTGATACAGTGTGCTGGAAACAACTGTTCAACAGTTTAAACGAACATTTATGAGTGAGCTAAACATTTCATCTAGTATATCTGTTTTTACTTACAATATCTCACCAGATTGAGCCAAATGGAAAATACTGTAACATGAAAATAGTGCTTGCAGTATTTTGGTGGGTTTTGTTTGCTCATTCCACCACTAACAAGAAAACAAATATATATAAAAATCAAGTCCACACCAAACTGAATATAAAAATGAAACACACGGAAAATAGAACAGCCAGAATAAAACTTCTGAAACTTAAAGAAAAATGTGCTCAAATTATCATTCTTGATCAGCTGGCTACAATTACCCAGTTAGAATACAGCAGAAATCTGCTATTTTCAGAGAAATTATATTTAAGTCTGTGTGGCCTAAATGTTAAGCAATTGGTTTTACTTCATTCATAGAAGGATTTTTAATGAGGAAAAGGACTCATTTTGACAGGGCCCTAATCAACAGTTTTTCAATAGGCAATAACCACTTCTCTAGCTAAGAAGATCTGTTCCATATTACCTCATTTAAAATCCTGTATCATTTGATATTTGATTAAGATCATGTTAGATAGGTACATATTTTTACCTCATTTTATTAATGCTAATGGGCCTGTAAATGCTACTGAATTTATTTGTTTCAGAAGGTATGTCCATATTTATTGAATGGCATTAAAAATTAGTGCAGCAGAAAGCTGCTGTTCATTCAGTTTATATGAGGTTGAACTTACCTATAATTTTAATAAACAGAAACTAATATTTTAAAAGAAACGGCTAACAAGAAAAAATTTAAAAACTGAATAAATTCTATAGCCTGAAGCTGTGATTTGTTTTTGTTTCTTTTAAATAGAAATGCCAGATTATTCAAACTGCCCTAATTTCAAAATAATACAAATTAGTTTAGTGTAAGTGTTAGCTGTTCACTTCCAGGGCAAACATGTATTACTTTGTAATTGATTTTGAAGTTGTAAGAAGTGAAAGTGTATAAAAAATGACTGTAAATAGCTATTCTTTGAATTAATACATAAGGCTGCTTTGGCAGTTGAGGGACAGAACAAATACTGGAGAGATTAATTTGATCTATAGTCTGCAAATTATTTTAAAGTTCTTGTTTTCAAATAGATATTAAATAAAAGCTAGATGAATGACTGAATTATAAAGAACACTGTCACATATAACTTGGATTTTTTTCAAGTAAACTAAATCTAGGATTAATGGTCCTTTCTAATTTTTTTTTTTTTTTAGAAATTTCTTTGTCCTTATTACTATTACTTTGCCTAACCTACACCTTCTAAATTATCTTCTGTGACATTAACAGGCATAGAAAAGTTATGCAAAATCATCTTTAGGTTGTTATTCTGTACAAATAATACTAATCAGAGAAATACCTGATTCTGCTGCAGCCCTTCCACTCATCAAGTTGTGTCAGAAATTACATGAGCAAAAGCACCAACTTTGTTCTTTTCAGTCACGATTAAGAAAACATAACAACTAAAATTGTCACTTGTCTCATGCAATTAGAGTGGATAAAGATGCAGTGCTAAGTTATTTATTTATTCTTAAGTTTTAGAGACTTCGTGTTTTCATCTGTTATCTTTTCCATACACACAAATCACCATAACAGGAAAAGAAATTCAGTTTCAATTCCAAATCCAGTTTTACCCCTCAGAAGAAGCACGTGGCAACTGACTTCAAAGTCAGTAAATAAAGGTCTTTGGCCAAAATGTATTTTTTACACTTTCTTAGGTATTATAGGTGAGACATACCCAGCTTGGACAACTTTGTCTTAACTGCTTTTAAAGCTTATGCATTATAGCAAAATAAACAAAAAACACAACAAACTATAGGTTACTTCATTCAACCAGCATGTGCATGAGCACATGTAGCACCAAGCTGCATCCATATAAAATTTAGGCTACATTTTAGACTTTACAGGCTTTCTGAAATTTAAAGTGATAAAAAGACATTTATTGTTTATCTCCAGTTGAGTGAATGGATGTTCCCCCGAGATGTTCGGAGACTTACAGATAGGATCATTCTCTCAGCTCTCTGTCTCTGGCACAGTGGTAAATATGAGAAAAAGTACTACGGCCTTTTTTCTGTGTACAGTAAAAATTCAGATTGTATTAATATTTTTCGTAACTTCTTTAGTAAGTTATGTTTATACAGAGAATTGTACATTACCTTATAGGACTTGAAGCTGAATCAGGGTCCCGTGCCATTACGGTTCCTATTATTGTCCCCAACTCAATATCTTCATGCACCTCAAAAAGGTAAGATGATCTGCTGAAGACAGGAGGTTCATCTACATCCTCTACGGAGATCTTCACAATAGTTGTATCTTTAAAAGGCCCAAGATAATAGAATCGTGGATCCACGTGGGTATTCTCAGCTTCTACTTTCAATGTGTAAAGTCTTCTCGTCTCATAGTCCAGTGGCTAAAAAGAAAGATGATGCTAAACTTTATTAAATTATACTGCATATTAACAGATGTTGACCTGTACGTGTAACTGAGGTGGACTCAGAACCTTGCCAAATCTTCTCCTAGGTTGGGAAGACCTTCCTACAGTTCAAATTTTCTGCAGAATAGGGACCACTTCCTTTAGTAAGGAAGTTCCGTTGTCTTCAGAGAGTGTCTCTGTTCCCAATCATTAATTGAATTAATGTAGCACCAAAAGCAAAAAGATTTTTCAGTGCGAATTTATCTGTTGTTTGGTGAACTTTGCTGCTCTTTCACCAGAATAAGGACGGAAACAATTATATAGGCATTTAAAAAATGTAAAATACAGACTTGAAATACTGGAATTGCAGAACAAGGTGCACAATTCTATTATTTCTCAGAAAATATCATAAAGCATTGGGTACTCAAGACTGCCAGAATTTCCTTGCTGTCAGTCAAATTTAGCTGGCCTTAAATGTCAGCAATAATTTTTTTTAGGGATGTGTGTGTGGAGAGGTTGAAGCACCGTAGTTCTAGAGAAAACTTAAGAACTTAATCTCACTCGTTTTCATTGCATTTCATGAATCTAACATCAGAGAATTTTTTGCAAAATAGATTTGACATTTTTGTCAGAAGTTCCTGTTTAAAATGGAAGGAGGAAAGGTTCACAGTTATAATTAGAATCCGTTGTAGGTAGAAAAGAAACTCCATTCCTTCAAATTTTTCCAACTGTCATAGATGAAAAGTGTTAGCTAATTAATGATACTGAGGAGATGAGCAAGCTGAGAATTATCTGACACAAAGATGATTTCATTAACTTCCCCAAAATAACAAGGAGATATCAAACCAGTGTTTATCATTCATCAAAATGGGTGGTAGAATACATGATTTCCCCTCCCCCCTACTGCTTTTAAATAAAAATTAACGTTCATGAAAGATGCTAAAATGAAAGTTCAGAAATTTAAATATTTAAGAGCAAAAAGATGCAGTCCAGACAAAGAATGTTTATCTCCCTTCTGCCCCAAACTTGTTATAAAAAGTAGTCAGAGCAGAAGCGAGAATATCCCAGAATATACCCAGGAAATGCAACTTTCCAAGCTAAATCTGAGACTATTGGTGTATCAATGAACTGCAGCATACTGCTATTAAGAGATACAGGCTGCAAGCCTGGAAGTAAAGAAGCCGTGTTAGTCCTGCTTTTTTTTCTAACTAGCAGCCTTAATTTGCCAAAAAGGTGCACCACATAGAGGTGCCTAACCCACTACCAGTATATTCACTACCGATCTGGACATCTCTTCAGCCTACATCTCAGAATATAGATATAAAATGTGTGCACTACATAGATGCTTCAACATATCACCTGTAACAAACAAAACTGTTGTCCAAGTATATGAATCTGTAGCAATGAACACAAGTAACAGTGAATTACTTAAGCAATTATTTATCTGTGAAAACTTGTATAGAAAAATTCTTAAGTTCTTTTGCAGTTCTTTTGCAATGCAAGATTTAATAACTGAAGGGCATAGGAAAGGAACACAAGCTGTTCTGTACTTATTCACTGTTGAAAACAGCAATCACAATCACACTGGCTAAACAATAAATAGACAGTGAGTATTTTTATACATGAATAAACGGAGCATGGCACCTTCTTCCTTGCTGGTTAATGCTGTTGTCTGTGCTTTGTGAATGACAAGCTACTTATTCACAAATATGAGAATGTATCCTTAACATTTCAAAATGGGTCAGATACCTAATGATACAGTGAGAAAGGTCTTTTCATTAGCATTTAATAGTGATATTTTTGGAGTTGCTGTGTTATAATTTATGAATTCTTTAAGTTTTATCCAGTTATTAGGTTGGTCTTCTTCAAGATGCTATTGATTTAATGTAACAGGAGTCTGTCTGGAAAATACAAGGCCATAAAGAAAAGAAGGGCTCAGGAGAAGCCATTTCTCTGCAAACTTTTAGGAAAAGGAAAAATATCAGGCCCCTGGAGTTTTCATTCCTTTCCAGATAAACTCAGATCTGACTATTAAAAGATTAAAAAGGAATTCACTGTGATCTTTGCTGAAGTTATCTTTACCTTGGTTGCCATTATCAAAGGATGTTAAGAATTGCTGGAGAGAGATGTATTTGTATAGCAGTGTTTTAAATCATTATTCTACGCTTTAAGTGACTTGTTCTACAAGCTGATACAAATGATGCTTTGGGTTACAAAGGCTATCCGGCCTCGTTAGAATCACTCATCCCCGAATCCCAGAGGAAAGGATTAGGGGTCCTAAGCCGAGCAGGACGTCTGGAAAGGAACTCGTCTAGGAGCAGGAGCTTCACCTGGTGAGCATTTCTCACCATGCGAGATCTTATATCTTTGAAAGTCCTCCAAGATGCGCGTGAGAGAGGGCACAAGTAAATCTAGCTCCGAAACAAGGACACCACGCTATACGCTACTCCTGTGTTAGCCAGCTGACCTGCTGGAAACAGGAATAAAATAATATATCTTGTGACTTAGCTTCTGTTAGTGTATTTGCATTCCGGCATATTTTGTCACCTGAGCTGATGTTCTGAGAACCTCCCAAATAAGGAAAATCTAAATCTCTCAGTAGTGACTGAACCGTTTATCACTCACGGAGGAAAAAAATTACATGAATACTAAACAGATACGTATTTGAAATCGTGGCGATAATTACAACTAACGTCCTGGGCATGGTCCATTTTTGCATATTTCACTGTCAATAATACTTTAAACCTACACCAGCCTCTCAAAGATATCTCTGCCACCTGTTATTTTCCGTTCCGATTTCAAGGAAATAACACCCTTTGCAGTCACAGAAGTGGAACTTTTGCAAGAGTTAAGCATTGGTAATTACCAATACATGATCTAAACATTTTTTTTTTCTAATGAACACTTGTGGCATAACGCTGACACCAAAATCATTTTAGTGAATGTTATTAATAGTCACCTTTCGCACGGTTATGATGCCTTCCTGTGTGTCCTTCTGCGTCACAATATCAAACATATCTGTCCCGTCACCATCTATAATTCTGTATTCTACTTCTGCATTTTTCCCAGTGTCTGCATCTGTGGCCTTGACGCTGCCGATGGCAGTCCCAACCGGGGAGGATTCAGGAATGCGGAGGTGGATCGTATCTGTCAGCGAGACAAAGAGCCAGTCAAGAGCTGCACAGTCCATTATACGCTCAGTAAGTACATTGTACTGTGGGCTATGCAGTAGCTGGTGATGTATTTTTGTATATATTTTTTTTCTAGAGAACTTGCTTTTAGCACTGAGAGGATGGGCAAAACGGGAGGCAGAGAATTGTACCATGGGAAAAGTTTAGATGCAAGAGTGAAAATGAAATTGCAGAAAAATAGGGTTGAAAAGGATGTCTAGAGAATATATGGTCTATTCTCCTACTCCAAAGAAGGACTGCATATGTCTATAATATTCTTGCCTATGTCTTCCTGAAATGCCATCAGGAAAGATTTTTCTGTGATCTCTTCAGGCTTCACTCTCCCTATTACCATTTTTTTCTCTTATTTTCTCATTAGAATCTTTCTGGATACATTTTACACGTGGAAGCAATACAAAAAAAACAAACCCCGCTGACTTCTCTGGCCAACTACAAGCAGCAGTTTGCAATCTCAGCATTCAAAATTAAATAGTAAGATATAACATTAAATAAATTTGAATGACACCTTAATGCAGAGACACATTTTTTCAAAATTTATAAGCAGAGTGCAGCTGTAGTTGTTAAAGCAGTTAATTCATGCTTAAATATTTATGCGCAACTATTTTAATTTTGGTTTTGTGCTGCTTTCCCTGGCTCACTTGTATCTCTATATTGCAGTGTCACACAGCTGATACAAAACACAGGATAAAAACTGTCATCATTCAGAAATGCTGCAATTAATTGAAATAAGTATCTTATGACAGATTTTAGTTTTCTATAAACTAGCCACATGGTTAAAACAGTAAGTAAGGGTAGAGAACTCTGATCCTATCTGTCAGGAAAAACATGTGAGACACAAAGTACTATGAAGATTTCTTAGAAAGAGATTTTTAAATGAGTACAGGTGCAGCTGAAAGTTAACTCATCTGAGCTGTATATCAACTGCTCTGAAAAATATTTCCTTCTCTGGCCTTAGTTAAGTGCTCCAAAATTCGCTGTTTTACTTAGACACTTCCTAGGCTAACCAAAGTGAGTTAGAAAGATAATTCAGTTAACAGGACCACAAAACTAGAAGTGATGAAGAGGCCAACAACCACAATAGGGGAAAAAAAAAAAAAAAAAAAAAGAACAGGCTACCTGAAAGGCAGTGCATAAATTCCTGAGTACAAATTAGAAACCACAGGAAAGTACATAAAGCCACCAGGAATTAGCTGCTATGAGTGATCATGAAGAATCACTGGGAGAGAGCCGTGACAGGGAATCACTGGGAGGCCCCTGGCAGCCTTATTATCTTACGAGATCTTCAGGAAAACCCAGGTGAGTCCTGTGTGAATTACTGATATCTCTTAACAGAGGGCAACAATGGAATTGCAAAGGAACTGTTCTTGTTTATGAAAAGACTCACTTAAAAGAAATCTTCCTACTGGGAAATTTAAGACTTGCTCTCAATTTGAAGAAGGAGTTTTTCTATCCCCTTATGTTATAGTTCAGCCAACCTAATTAAAAAAAAAAAAAATTCCAAACATGCACACATTCACCTATAGAGTGTAACTAAATGCTCAATGGAAAAAGACTAAAAGGAAAAAGACTAAAACTGAGTTTTGTTATATAATTGTGTTTAAGCAGCTTTTGATATGAAGCTGATACACAGGAGCAGAATTAATACTTTATAGCCACATATACTCCATATTCCATATTAATATGAATTTATTTCTGCACAGTTCCATTCCAGCATTTCAGTCAAATGATTATCTGGTGCTTGCTTTGACATTTTCATTACCTTTCTCTAATACCTAAATCTGTGTACTTTGCTACATTAGTTATATAATCTCTGTATAATCTGTTAATGGTTAAAAAAGAAGAGAACATAGCCTCTGCTCCCGTTTAGTATTTATTCAGTACTATTTGAGACTATGATGAAAGACTTTTTTTTATATTTTTTTCTTGTTCTTTGTAATTAATATTTACATGTTCTAATTAGTTTTATGGTGTGTCCAACTATTCTCTGCATTTTTTTATTGAGTGCTTAAAACTACATCCCCAAGCTATACCTTGTGGCCACTACTTTGACTCCCACCGCAAGACCCAGCTCATTAATTTAATCTACAAAGTGGTAAGGACTCACACGTTGAATTACTAATAAGGTAGGGGAAACACAAAATGAAAATAACCAGAAATATGTCATCTGAAGGACTATTTTATGGTTAACCTGTCTTTTTATAGAAATATCAACCATAATATGAGATATGAGATACTTCCTTTATATTATTTTTATCACTACAGACTATAAATCATTTGGGGCACTATGTATTGGATGTAGTGGAGCTTTAGGTACTATATGAGAACTACAACAAACTACACCAGGCCAGGATTACTCTTGCAAAACCGCTCTGTGAATCCTTTTTCTCAGTCTTTTCTTCCCCAAAGAACACTTACTGTTTGCATTTACTTCAGTGAGGGATGTTCTTGTATTTGTCTGTCAGGGATAAAAAGTGGGAGGAACAAGGAAGGGAAAAGCTTTTCCATCTACTATGGAGAGTGGCAGTCAACTGGCAGATTAAAGTCTATACGCTTCTATCTGGATAGACTTCAGTCAGTCATAAAGAATGAGAGAGCAATCTTATACACAGTTACTCTCTTGAATAAGCAGATACTCTATACAAATATTTAGACTAATAAGGCCAGAGTCTCCCTGAAAACTTGAGCAGCCGTTACTCAAAGACGCACCGAGTTTCAGTCACACTCAGGCTCCCAAATCCTTAAACCACTTTGAAAAATAAGACTCAGACTTCAAAAAAGTATTAGCGTATCCTAAAATGTTTAACCAGGGCACTACATAGCTCTGTAGTAAAACACTAACACAATGGATATGCTCATCAACCGTATCAAGAAAATGAAAATATTCTAAAATATGCTACTCACTGAGTAATTTTCTCCTTAAAACAGGTAATACTACTTGTGTGTATCATGCTAAAATGACAAGGCATGTACTGAAACCTACTGTTTCTTGCATATTAATCATTTCAGAATTTCATTGCTTCCTACACCTCTACTCCAATTAACTGGGTTTAAATTACAGGGTGGAAGGGTTTTGCAATTCCATGTGAGCCCAGGGAATGCAAACAAATAATGCTTCTCCCATTTAGTATAGGTCAATATCGTCTTACGTTTGAAAACATTTGCAAACAGGATAGTTGAAAGAGAGAGACAACATCTGAAGTCTTCTATGGTCTTCCTGTGCAGAATCTTGGCTAGGTACTAAATTTCATCATAAATTTCCTCAGAAAATGAGTCACTGATCCCACTATGATTTTTAAGAGATCTTTAAGACAAGAAAAATATTCTTAAGAGCTCCTGCTCCATAATCTAAACCATCATAGGCTCTTCTTTTGAGAAGACATGATGAAACACAGTTTGTTGAATTTTCTACAATTCTAATATCAGTTTCTTGTGGGAAAAGTCTAATTTGGCATGAAACATTTTGTGGGAATGTGTAGCTTTAATACAGTACTATGTCATTTAAAAACATAAGGGATCTATTAATATATTTCCTGGTAATTTATAAATCTAGTATGAATATGGTCATCTCATGAACCTACTACAAGTCTATTACTTATTAATAGGTCAGAATAGGAATAATATAACTTAATCAGTATGAATTCCATTAGTTTCACTGAGCTCTACTAAAAATCAGGAATCATTATAATGTCTACTTGCATTTTGAGATAAAATATAAGGATTTTTTTAAAAGTCAATGCCTATCACATATCCAATAAAATTAAAGCCAGGTTTAAAAATGTTTCAGATTCCATTTCCATTGAAACATATAATCATATCTAGCAAGGCAACAGGTAGAGAGAACAAAAAAAACCTCAGAGAGTAAGATAAAAATTTTCTTTAAAGCAAAGGCCAGATCTAGGTTACACTGATGTAATAGGAAAATGGCCAGATATGTTTGGGATGCTACATCAGATCTTCATCTTAGTCAATGAATATGATATCGGGCTCCCAGACAAGTCATGTATGCATAATTTCATAATCACAGTCTGGAAAGTTGATTATGACATTCTACGTGTTAATTTAACACAGTGCTTAAGAAATAAAAAGAACCAAATGAAAAGGAAAGCATCGGCATCTATATTTGATGCTTGTATGCTGTTCTAAATGCGACTGTTAAATTAGCTTTGCTCTAATCTTTGAATGTCACATCTGTTTGAATGGTCTTCCTCAAGAGTTTGTGAAAACTTCAGAGAGCAGTAAGCAAGCTAAAAATTTAATAAATCAAAATACTGACGAAATATAAAAGGACATACAAATTAACAATAAATTCTCCCCAGAATAAGGCCTGTGGGGAAATGCACATACTCAGTCGTTCATGATATTTCTGTTTTGAGTGTATATGAAATCACATGCTGATAAACATCTTAGATAATGCATATATGCATATATATATATATATATGCATATACAAAGTCGAATACAATTATATACTCCATTTGTGCCATAAAGAACTTGTTAAAATCAGAATTACTTGAACCTGAATCTCTTATTTTATGCCTGAAGTCTTATCATCCGTAACTACTGGAGTCAAATGGAGTTATACCAAAGACAAACTGGGTAGCGAGGATGATCAAAAACCGTTTTTTATTAAGTATGCCCAAACTATCTTGTGATTATTATTACTTCAGTTTATTAAAAATATTTAACCTCTAACAAATCTGGTATCATATAATTTAATACTTTTATGTTACGTAGACACCAATAATTGTTTCCTGTTCTAGTTTGAGGCTACAAAGTCTTCAAAGCTGCACTATTAAAAGTCTAAAAGCAATATAAAGGGCTCTTTAAATGGAAGCTGTCAAAAGAAGCAATGCTAGTTGCCATTTGCTTCACTTTGGAAAGTTTTCTATCAGGTTTTGTAGCATGGTAACTCTAAAAGTACAAATCTGCTCGATTTCCTTCAGGTAATTCCTTTCCCAGGTTCTTCATGATTAAATGTTTAAGCAGAGACTACAATTCAAATGCTTCTGCCTATCTAGAATTACTACATGTTTTATTTTCTAATGAGGGAAGCTACAGGTAAGAGGAAAGACAAACATTGCTCTAATGCGCTTACGATTTCACCTCCCACCCCTTCCCATAATACTGGAGAGTATCCCAGGTTTGGTGCAGTCATATTTGATCATGTAACTGTTTTCCTAACAAAGGAATGCTGTAAGATTTAATTTTCCACTTTAATAATAGTGAATAAATCAGTACATAAGCCTTTTGTTCATGTGTGCCCCATAATCTAGATTTACTCTAAATTAAACCAGATGGTGATTGCTTAACTCTTTAGTCTGAAGCTCTTATAGTGCAGGACAACTATTAAATGCAGCTTACTCTGGGGGAATCGAGGTGGATTGTCGTTGACATCCGTCAATGTGATGTTCACGGTGGTAGTTCCTGATAATCCACCCATCTGGCCTCCCATGTCCTTTGCCTGGATAACTACTTGGTACTGTTCCCTGTTCTCTCTGTTCATGTTTGGCAAAGCAGTCCTGATGATGCCTTAAATAAAAAACAAAGACAAAAACTGTTATTCATCTCTTTCTGACATGTAGCAGTCTGCTGCATCATTTTAGTCTGTGAAATGTATTTCTGATGTATGCAATTTAAAATTTTAAAGTACATATTTCTGATTGTAAACTTTACAAATAGTCTTCAGCACAGGCTACCTGTTTGTTTAAAAAAAAAAAAAACAACAAAAAAAAAACCTTACAACTCCCCTTTTGTTTTACATTTCATGTAAAAAATGATGCAGGACACCTAAGCAAGACAAGGTTCATAGGTAGAAAGGGCACCTTTTTTTAGTCCGACTAGTACTACTAAGAAAAAAATAGCCATGTTTTCTACCACACAAACTTGCTTATTTGCCTTTACTATAAATAGTCTTACTTAGATCTTTAAGCTATCAATCATAGCTATTGCCATAGTACCACTATAAAGTTACTTAAACTTCATAGTGTTAGCTGCAATATCTATTTTTATTTATTTATAAGAACTATAAATTATTAGAAAAAAAGAAAAAATATTATTTCATTTCAGCTAGACATTTTTAAAATAAATTCTCTAGGTGATATGAGTTTTGTAAAATGAAAGAAAAAGCTGAAAGTTTATTTTAAATGGAAATAATGACAATTTTCCTAACCTGTTTCTGGTTCCACAGAGAAGTATGGTTGTCCTTGAAGTATGCTGTAAATGACTCTGGCACTGTTTCCATATGAAGGGTCATCAGCATCAGTGGCTGTGACCTGTACCACAGAAGTACCTGAAATATCCAAAGGCAACTTAGTTCCATAGGATAACAGAAGGAGGCCCAAGAACTCTAGTTTCCATTCAAGCAGACCCCAATGGAAATTTCAGCTAATGTCGATTGGATTTTTCAACTTCAGAAACGCGCTTTCTTGTTTCAATGATCTCTTTCTAAATAGGTTGACTCTGGAGTTCCCTAATTCTATAAGCATGATTAAGACCAAATTATTAAAGGTCAAAACCAGCAATGGCTGAGCTGAATTTTTATGCTTATATCACCAGTTCATACTTATGTACTCACTCCCTTCCTGTTTTCAGATGATTTATTTATTTGAAAGGATGAATGATCATTTCTTTTTATTATAACAAATCTCTGCTTTTCATTACCCAGAATTTATTTTTTTGTCCAGTGATGTCAATGTGCTATAAAACTCCACATGCAAGAACATGACAGGAAAAGATGATTAAATAGGTCCCCGAACTTGGGAAAAACCTATGATCAATTCCTCCTACCTTCCAAGTGGGAATGTAGATATATATTACTAGAAGAAATATTTCTACATGCTACACTTCAAAAGCTGTTGGTTACTTAGACTCTAGGAAATTTTCAAGAACATTTCTAAATTTTGGTGAAAAAAATATCGGAGTCCTTCAAAATATTTCATTTTTACCATTGTCACTGCCACCTATTTTTGATTCCACGTAGTTTCAACATCCTGTTTCTCTCTCCATCAGATGAAAATGCTTTTAAGTACAGAGAAGGGGGGGGGGGACCCAAAGAAAAGTCATGATGTGCCTATAATTGTTCTGAAAACTGATTCACAAACACCTCATATTTCCAGCAACACTAAACCATAGATATTTATGTTTAAAAGTAAATACTCTGTTAGAAAAGTTGAGACCTTTTTGTTGAATACATTTAAGTTTTCAAGAGAATTATTGCCTTGATTCTGAAATTGCTTCCGAAATTCTTGTTTGTGCTGTCCATATATGTACCAAACTACAGTGCTGGAACTTATGTGAACTTGCTCCTAAACAGCAGAAAGGGGGAGTGTTGCATGTGTAAAAGAAAGATTAGAACAAAGAATGTTCAGTAACCTAAGTGCTGCGATAACGAGTAGAAAGACTAAAATAGTAAGGGAAAAAAAAAAACCCGCAGGCAAAGGCTTCATTAGTGTAATGATGCTATTTCTTAAATACGTAATGCTCAAGATACAGTCACTCTTTCGACTTCCCCCTCAATACACTTGTAAGCTTTACTTAGAGAATGCCATGTCAGTCAGTTGCAATTCCTCTGTTTTATGGCCATAACCAACAGAGACACTCTATCACTACAGCACAATGTATCCATCAGTTGGGGGTGAAAAGTCCATGTTTCAAACTCACAAAAGGTGATATTCTTTTTCTCTTTATTACATGAGACGCTGTTATTTCCTACTGTTTCTAATTTTCACATTTTCTTTATGTATCCAAATTAGCAGTATTTATTAATAGGAAGTCCATAGTATTACAAATTCATTTATATTAAAAATAATAAAATAATCATCCAGAATCTACTTTGAAGGATAATCATGAGGAAAAACCAACAAACATGTTTAACAGCTTTAAATTTAACAAACAAAAAGTCTTTCTGTTTGCAGTGCAACAACATCCATCTCTGGCAGTTACTGCCTCCTCAGTTATGGGTGTCTAAAGGCACATACGTGCATGCTATTTTAACACACACACAATATAGAACAAATCATATCAGCTAGCACAAACAAGCAAACAGAAGGAGCATATTAGTTGGGGAGCGTGCTCCAGCAAATAACATGACCAGTGGCACACACAATTTGTTCTGTGCTGCAGTCTCATTGCCTTATATTCTCTTTGCTCAGTCTCCCAGCAGTCTGGTCACTCCAGAAAAAGAACATACAGAGATCAATTTGAATTTACTGACCACATTGTTTGTTTTACCTGCACATTTATCTGCTTTGACACGAAGTGCTTTCGGGGCTATTCACATTATGTGAAAACACACAGTGAATGATTACTGCAATGCTGCTTAGCCTCTTGCCTATGTTGTTACTTTTTTGGAAGCATTATTGCTTACCTGGCAGCCGATTTTAATGTATTTCAAGAACTTTTCCCCTGTTCCATGCTTTGTGTATCAAATATTTGTAAGCCACATTCTTTTTACAGGAACAATACCAAAAGCTCTTCTGATGTCTGAGTAAAGTCCTTTGCTTCCTCTTTGCTAAATAAATTTAGTAAAAAATACTCAAAAAGCATACTAGGCCTTCTAGATTTACACATCTTTTAGTCTTAAACAGCTTTTCATCTTTAAAATATTTTCACTTTTAAATAATTTCAAGCTTAGTTTTCCTGAGGGAATGGCACTTCTGCGGGAAGGCCACTCTTCACACCGTTACAAGGTGTCCCTTCACCCTTCCCCTCCCATCCCCTAAGAAAATTTTTCTCATTTCTGTATTATCACTTTTATTTGTGGAATTATAGCCTTTTTATCACATATAAATGAACCTGGGAGCAGCTCTTGGGCAGATAAAAGATAGAAGAATGAAAGAGTCGGACAACTCTTGTGGATGCTGCCAGGCTCACGCTAGATGGATGGGTAAGCGGGAGCAGGATGGAAGGTGGAAAGTAGGGCTTTGGTGGGAAGCCACTGAGCATCACTTCAAGAACTGAGGACAGAGGTTAAAGGCACGTGAGAAGGCTTGAGTGGCAGTCTTAAATTCAAGGCAATCTCTCACATAACCTTTTTTTTTTTGCACGTAGTTTTTGAGAACTGCAGTTAAAATAATAAAAATGATAATTGGAGGTCTGCTGATTTTTAGGGTGGCTTTACAGTTAAGTAAAAATAGTGCATTTAAGAAGGCAAACTACTATTTGAACTGAACCAAATTCTAAGCCCTCTCTTCTCAGCTAGTGTAAGTCACAAATAACTGCAGGCTACAACAGTGGAACATGCACATCAAATAAAGCAATTTAGGAGCTCTGGAATGAAAAACAAAACAAAACAAAAAAAATATTCAGCTATGTACACAGCTAAATGTCTATTGTGTACATCAGCTGTCAAGCTGCTTGACTCTTGTTTTCCTTCAATCCACTGAAGTCACCAAAGTTCACTGGTCCTCAGTGCTATAAATGTATTCGTTATTCCAGTCTGAAACCTGGAATGAACTAATTAGCACCCTAGGCTAGAAAGCCCAAGGCACGGAAGATGATCATATGTACTGGGGCATACAAAAATGCAGTGTGGATGTGGCCTCGTCTACGCTACTCAGGCCAGCAACCAGGCCTTGCTCTCTGATAGACGTATAAGAAAGACTATTTTTCACATGTGCACAGATTGTTTCTCATGAAGTTGGTAAGAGCTGTATCTTTGGCCTTCAGAATCTGAAAGTAATCTGAATTCTTTAAGGATGATGAAAAAGACACCATGATATATATTGGAGAATATGACAAAAGGTATACTGTTAATAAGACCTATGAGCTATAAAATTTAATTCTTACATACTTGAAAATATTACTATAGAATAATCTAAAATCATACAGTGATGAGTTAGGCCCTCCTAACTAACTAATTCATTAAGAAATAGAGTCATTTGCCAGATTATTGTAGTTCTCAGAAGGCATATTTGAACATAATTTTAATTACAATGTTTGAATCTCCCTAAAGTCTGGTACTATAATACCTAATACACTTTGCCCTTTTAATAATTAATACACTTTGCCCTTTTAATGCTTTCCTTGCAAACACATTCAAACATCATACAAGCATTAATGACTTTAACCTCACAATGCATTTATGATGTAGAAATATTAGATAAGAAACACTGAAGATAATTAACTAGGAAAAAACCCACACAGAATATCTGTTGCAGATCTGAATTTGAAACATATATATTTCCTTACTCCCATGTGAATTATGTTCTTTAACTATCAGTAAGTACCCTTCAAAATGAATTATCTATACCAGTAACAAATTGAAATAGAGCAGAAAAATTCTGCTCCTTCTGGTGAAAAAGTGGGGAAATATTCACACATTTTCCCCTATAATACACTAGCGAATGCAAACAGAGCTAGTGGAGAAGTAGTAGAAAGGGCTACCTTTTCATGGAAATTATGTCAGAATCACAGAATCACAGAATGGCGGAGGTTGGAAGGGACCTCTGGAGATCATCTAGTCCAACCTCCCTGCTCAAGCAGGGTCCTCTAGAGCATATTTCCCAGGATCACATCCAGACAGGTTTTGAATAAATAGGAGAGATGCTCCAGTCCCTTCATCATCTTGGTAGCCCTCCGCTGGACTCTCTCCAGGAGTGCTGTGTCTCTCTTGTACTGGGGAGCCCAGAACTGGACACAGGACAGCCCAGGTGAGGCCTCCCCAGGGCTGAGGAGAGGGGCAGGATCACCTCCCTCAACCTGCTGGCAACACTCTGCCTAATGCACCCCAGGAGACCATTGGCCTTCTTGGCCACAAGGGCACACTGCTGGCTCATGGTTAACTTGTTGTCCACCAGCACTCCCAGGTCCTTCTCTGCAGAGCTACTTTCCAGCAGGTCAACCCCCAGCCTGTACTGGTGCATGGGATTATTCCTGCCTAGGTGCAGGACC